TATATATATATATATATATATATATGTATACGTCTTTATATATACAATTTTATTTGAATTAAACTGTATTCATTGTTTAATAGTTATAATTTTGTTTAAATATTTTTTTCTTGTTTTAATATTTTGTTTTAATATTTGTTTTAATAGCTCTAGGGATTTTTATTCACTTCGATGAACTGTTTCAGTGTTTTTAACCCCAGTTTCTAACAATTGCTTGGAAAATTTTGATGCTTTGACAAGAAAATTTTGTTTGTTTTAGTTACTTGAGCGAAAAGAAGGTGCCGATTTGCATGAATATGTGTGCAGCATGCGTATTGATGCTGCCGAAGAGAAAATTGATAATGATCAATATAAAGTCGATTGTGAAGGACAGTCTGAATTTGTTGAGAAAAGCGCATCGGAGATTTTAACCACTGAAAAAGATGCCGATTTGCTTGGATTAGGGACTGGTATTTGCTTCTAAAATTTCTAATCTTTGGTCATTTCCGGCATACAGTTAATAGACTTTTTATGATCTGTTCTGTCAGAGAGTGTTCAAAAGATGCCGTCCAGTAATTTTTGTTGCGTTTAATGAGGCTTTTTTTTTCTGCTGCTCGCATATTTCATTTAATTAATGTTTTACCTATTAAATCCTGCAGTTATTAGCAATTTTTAGATTTTGATACTTTGTATTCGCCTAGTCGTGTGCAGTTGGTGAATGGTGTAAATGATGGTACCTTATCGTTAACAAGTGTTTCCACACATAACGCCCGAAATACATCTACATGCATACCAGATAATGCTTCTTCCAACCTTAACGTTCATTTTGGAGGTTCGCACATTTTTGTAGTTTCTTGGACTTCACTTTTTTTTAATTACCAGTACCTAAAAGTTATGTAGTTTCGCAGATTTTCTCTTTATTTTTAGTTTTTTAAAATATTTTAGTTGCATTATCGGAGCAGAAATTTTTCGTTTCACTTTTCTAGTAAAATTTTGTTTCAAGATGATAAACTAACTTATTTTAGATAATGATTTTTATGGGGATGAAATACAACGTGATGTTTGTGCACCAATTTTTCCCACTGTAGATGCTATGGCTTCAACATCAGAAATGAAAAGTGATCCATTTTCTGAATTTTTAGCATGCGCAAAGGATAATACAATTCCACCACTGAAAAGTTTGTTATTAAATCAGCTGTAAATCTCTTTTTACTTGAATATTTTGAAAATATAAGCTAAACAGTAGCACGAATAGAGTCGATTTGTTTCATATTACTTATCTCAGGTATTTGTTCGAACTTCGTGTTAGAAATTTCGAAAGTTCTAAAACTTTAGATAGTTCAGCAGAGACAAGTAAAGCTCCATCGATTAATCAGCAACAACCGAATTACAGTCGAGCAAAATTTGACTCATTCAGTTCTATTGGAGGTAATATCCATAGCTTATCCTTCAGATTCCTATTTATTGTCTTTTGGTCTTCGTATTCTCTTTCGCGGATGTATGTCTATGTATGTCTACTTAAAAATTTTTGAAGATAAAAAATTTGGAGTGCGACAAAGTTCTATAGCAACGAATATGAGTGAATTTTTTTTTCCAGAAATTTCATTGAAATTGAACTGAATGGGTGGGGAAATGATTAATGGATTTTAATACTTGCAAGCTGGAATATTTTTCAGGTGGCAAGCCAAAGAATTTAGAGAACGCTTTTGATGATCTTCTCACTTCGCAAGGCTTTCAAACGTCTACAAAAACTATAAAATCTTTAGATGAAATGAAGCAGCAGGAAGGAATTAAGGAGCTAGATCCTGTTAAAGTTAAAGTAGGTCTTAAAAGTATTAGTCAATTAATTCTCTGAGAATTAAGTACTTCCATACATTTTGGAGTGTCTCCTTGCAGGTGAAAGAGTGGACGAAGGGAAAGGAAAGAAACATTAGGGCCTTGCTAGGATCGATGAATAATATCTTGTGGCCAAACGCTGAGAATTGGGTTCAGCCAAGTATTGGGGATTTGCTAACTGCACAACAAGTAAACTGGTTTGTTTACGAAAAAAGAACGAAAAATGGAAATTTTTATGGAATGCTAAGGAAAATAAATCTGTTCTGAGTAAAGTTTGTTAGATGATAGCAAAAAAAATTTTATGAGGCACCTTTGAATCACGATCTTTGAATTTGATTGCAATTTTGGCCAAATGAGTGATATTAATTCTTTACAGAGCTTGATATTGTGCTGACTTATTTAATCACTGAGTTTTACCTGAGCTTAAAGTGAGTTAAATAATATAACCGCCTAACCAAAATCATAGAAAAACTCTTCAGTTTCATCTTAACTTTATCTTACATTTTCTTTACAGATAAAGAAGTATTACCATAAAGCGTGCTTGGTAATACATCCGGATAAGCAGGTTGGCACTGAGAATGAAAGGTTAGCCCGTGCCATATTTACGGAATTGAATGATGCATGGACAGCTTACGAGAATGGTGGTTCACCATCCATTCGGTTTCAAATTTAGACGTCTCTATAAGAATTTTAATATTCTCATTTGTTTGTTTGATGCAGCTTCTCTTTTGAGCCGACCTTTGTAGGAAGTGTTACCTTATGGAAGAACAGTTTTTAACCATGAAAACACCCCATTTAATCGGAATCATCAAGTTCCTAGTTTATTTGCTTCACACGAATTTAGACAGACTATAGCGTTATGCGGTGTCTTATTGGGTTCCCGTAATTTTTGAGAAATATGTTTCTTGATTAAATATACTGTGAGATATCCAGATTAGATGAGTACTGTGGCATATGTGATTGATAGTATATATTTTGTTAAATGTAACATTGGCGCTTTACTACAGCACATGTATATATAATATCGTTTAGTTTTTGTATGCTTTGAGCTTTCGTCTTTCACTTATTATAATAAACAGTTATATGTCTTATCTAAAAATTTTACCTTAAGTGGGTATAAATTCAGTAATTGTGATCTATTAATTGATCGTCTTTTTTTTCTTTTTTTGTAACAAATAGCATTTATGGGCAGTTTGCCCATCTCATTTATTCTTTGGAGTCATCTGGTATAGTAAAATGAAGCATACTTTTTGAAACAAAATTCATGTTTATGATAAGAATTTATTAAAGTCAGAGAAAATATCTAATTTGGTCGGGGAATGTTACGCAATTGTTAAAACTCTTCGTACGGATTTAAGAACCAGTCCTATTCCGGTGTAAATTTACAGTGCTACAATCTTCGCATTGTAAGTGGCTATTCGATTCGCAGATTTGTCAATTTTAATTCCTAATTTAGGTTTCACGTGCAAACCTTTTTATTTTCTGTTTATTCACTCGTTTTTATAATTTGTACATGTTTCTATTTTAGAAATTCACAAACTCTGTAAAATAATTGTGCTGTCTGTTTTTCCGAACAGTTCTCTGTTGTCAGAATCTTTGTGATAATGGTAGAAAGGATCTTTTAAAATAGACTAAATTCTCTTTGCTTCCAACTGGAACAAGCAAACAAACTTCTTATTCAGCACTGGATGAAAGTTTGGGAAAACAAAACTACTGCAGCTTCAACTGGAACAAACACTTATTCGGCCTCGGATGAAAAGTTTTATTGGTCTTTAGACCTGTTGTGTCAGCGTGAAGAATTTTGTGGGTCCTTTCAAGATTTAAGATAAAACTGTATTTAAACGTACTGTAGAGATAGTAGAGTATCTAATGGTTCGTTGTTTAAGAAAGAGAATCATATGCTAAGAGAGAGAGGAGGAAGTTTATGAGCTTACGTACACGTCGGAAAGGCATGTTACCTTTACAGATTCCGAAAAAGAGGAATTTCATAGTTACTGGGTGACCTCATAAAATGCGTTAGCGAACTTTCTTGTAATACGTGGGGTCTACGCTGGAACAAAGTTTGAGCACTTCCAGAATTGAATGCTCCACGCTCTTACAAACAATTTCAATAGTACTGATCCTTTCTTTTTCATTGGAATCATTTAAAGCAGTCGCATAGCTCGAGGCGAAATGGCTTGAAGTGAGTGGTTTGCCGTGATCATCACAGTCATTAGTGCACGGGAGCTGATGATTTCTAATAGTGTGTCGTGTCTTCGAATTTAGTGGATAATGAGTGCATCGTACAGGTATCGTCGAGTGGCGTGTTGTCGTGATGTCAGCAGGTCGATACATCCGTAAACGTCCAGGAGCTCAGTCGATTTCCGAAGATGAAACAACAGAGAACCCCACCCGGAATGCTAATGATCCGCTTGAGCATTGCGCCTCATCGTCCTTGTTATCTGAGTCATCCATGCTCTCTACCTCAGGCTATGAACACTTGCCTTCCGTCTCCTTCAAAAATCTCTATGATTGGTGCGTTTTTCATATTTCCTCACTCTTCCACTTCTACTTATCTATTTCTCTTTAACCAAAAAAGCAAAGGAAGAAATCTCGCTAGAAGTGATTTTTCTTAACCGGATTTTCTTGACAGTACGGATTACTTTACTGTTGAAATGGGAATCTTGGAACTTCCCACATTACAAAGTTTCATTCCACGTTCCTCACATACTCCTTGGTATTGTTAAATTCATCTAGCAGCTAATACTCTCTGCATCTTCATTCCACAAGTTAAAGTGAACTGAAGCTCTTTGAAAGGATTACTTGTCACTTTGAAGAGTATAAATATTCGAGGAATTGTGTATTGTACTTTTATTATTTCAGTCCGATTTGTTTCCAACTTTTCCGCGAGCCGTACTCAACGTTATGTGGTCATTCATTCTGGTATATTCCATTGATTTTCGTACAGCAATATTTCTCAGATCCGACAATGCATAATTATTTATATTGAAATACAAGAAGGGAAGAATTTCAGCAATAGATGCTGAATTTTTAAGTGATTTCATTTTCCTTAAGAGGCATAGCGTAATCGCTACCCTTCCGTTGATGTTATTTTTTTGTTGCGAAATTTTAACAAAATAATTTGCAAACACTATTTCATGTAATATTTTTCGATGGGAATTTAGATGACATGATTGTTGCAGCCGTGAATGTATCAGTGCACATTTGGAACGTTCTTTGCGATGTCCTGTGTGTAGTCGAGGTCTGGATCCAAGATCTGGTCCAATTGTCTTTCCTAATTTTACGGCAGCTAGCATCGTGGATGCAATCCGACGTAACATGAAAACAGCGCGCAGTCTTACAGCCGCCAGTGTTGGTTTTTATGGCCATTTAATTTTTTCACCTTCAAATGATATTTTTTCGCAAATAATATAGCTGTTTGGGCTATTTCTTTATTACTTCTGCCTTCATTATGTTTCACATTTTTTTCATGTTGCAGGGTAGAAATGAGGGATTGGAGTTAACAAGCGAAAAACTAATTGATTTGGCTTTAAATGCAGACGCTCGTTTTCTGGATCATTTTATGGATCTTCTCAAAAAACGACGTGAACAGATAAGTAGTAATGTCACTCGGAGAAAAAACATGCTGCTGAACGAGTTTATTGATGAAATGATTACACAACGAGAAGAAAAGCTCAAACAGCTTCAGAATGAGCTATCGATTTTACGAAATGATAAAGCTTCGGTCCAGGTGACAACATCTGTCCGATATCTAATTTTTGTTAAGGCAAAAAAGCTTCTAATCATTTTCCAAGCAGTTTTTTTTGTAGATCTTTGAGTTAACCCATTTTCAAGAGTTTCTTAGTTGAATTTTTCTGGTGTACCGACGACGCTCTACCTGAAAACATGTTGTTTAATATTTTAATTATCATCCAACCGACTTCAACCTCATTATAAAGGGTTAAAGTTAGCTAACGCGGCAATCGAAACGTTGAATAATTAAAAGAATTGAATTAACTCTTCTAAGCAACTTTTGGTATATATATATATATATATATATATATATATATATTTGGCTTCAATTTTATTGTTCTGACCTTCATTTTTGCCAGGTTAAAAGGAGTAGTTTTCTTGCATATTTATTCTATAAATGTTTCTGATGCTATTCACTATTTCGCGTTTGAACAAGGCCATACCTGATAGAACGTCAGAAAAAGTTTCTGCGTGGAATGGTGTTTCGGCTGTACATTCATTCCCAAGGTGCGGTAGAAATTGGTAGGTCGGGTTTTCACTTTAAAAACTGAAAAGCTCAATTCACCTACTCGTTTTGTCGTCTTCAGACTGCTACTGTATCCAAACCTCAATAAAAAAGATTTTCAAACATTCGGCGTGAGACCGCAGTTGTGGATGAGTGGTTTCAAGCAGAGAAACTAGGGACTTTTATGTTGAATAAGCGTTCAGTTCCTGCAGTTTGCTTTGGAAATCACTTAGTAAGTAATCCTTAATTTTTTGTCTTCCATCTTTAGTCACGAACCACTCTCTACTATTCCTGTCTTGCACTTTTTATGCTGTTAGTTTTTGTTTCATTACTGTTCCTAGGCTGAATAATCTACTGAAAAAGGCATCGTTTATGTCGTGCAACTTTATAGTTGGAATTCAGTCGTTCTAATTTGAACTCATATTTTCAAATTGGAATAGAATTTAATAATTCAATATTTGTTTTTCTGTATTGTATATTCCATTAATTTATTATCGTTCATTATGCAGGCGTTGATGAAAGACGAGCCGAGTGGTAACATTGGCACTCATTCACAGCGAATGGTACCGGATGCCAGTGGCTCACAAGTAGTGCATTCTGCATCAGCTTTGAAAAAGATACGATTTGATGATGATGATGATGATGCTGATGAAATAGGAAAATATCGTAGTCGTCTTCAACAACATATGGCCGGTTTAGAGCAGGCATACTTCAGTAGGCGTTTAAATAACACAGGTTAGCTTTGTCGTCTCTTATAGGCAAATTTCATTCCTTTTGGAAAAAAGAGAAATTTTGGTTGGAAAAATTTTAGAAAAATGAATAATGAATGCATTTTGAATACCTCTCTCAATTTGGATAAGGACGAAATCCTTATCCAAATTCTTCAACCCAATTCTGTAAACAAAATCTATATCTGTGCGTTCTTCGACAAATAGTAACCTTGGGCTATTTTGATATTACACTGTTTGTTGTTGATATTTATAAATCCATAATATGTACTTCGTCTGAAAGTGAGTCGATAGTGACAGTATGCTTGCTAAAAAAATCAAATTTCAGTGCCAGTCTACACATAGATTTATAAAAACTTCATCAGTGGTAGTGCTTGTGTTGTAACAAAGAGTACTTTTTAAGATGTTTTGGAATCGAGAAATGCCGTAGGAATTGGATGGGAAGACTTTATTCTTTTATGCTTCGTTCTAAAAAAAACATTTCTGCATACATCCTTTACCCAGCCGTTGTTTGTTTTCTTGATCATTCCAACACAGGCAAATTTATACTAATACAATACAGCTTTCCGTGTGCAGCATATTGACCTTTATAATTTCATTCTTTCTAGTGTTTCCATTTGCTTCTAATTCATAGGCTTAGTAACTCCGATTCACCTTTCTCATTCATCTTATTTAGCTTTCTTCCAAAAAAGAAGGTTTCATATATTTATATTTACTCACTTTTTTTTTCTTTGTTTGCAGAATCTAGGAGTATCACGGACGACTCATTGGGTTTCTCTTGCGATACGCTTGATGATTTTTCACAAGTATTACATGGTATGTCGCAATATGGTAGTTTTCGACGCTTGGCATCCTTAAATTATAATGTAGCAGATGCAACAGCTGCATTATCTATTGTCTCAAGGTGATGAACTTTTCATTTATGATTATTCTTTTTCTTATTCATCTATTGGATTATTAGCATTCTAGCCTAATCTAATTTTATTTAGCCTAACTCAAGTCCACAATTCAATATCTTTCAGAACCTATAAACGAAATAGTGCTATTAGAAAAGAGTAATATTCTTTTAATTTAAATGAAGTCCAAAAAAAAATGAAGTCCAATATAGAAATTGGAGATATGAGACAAGATGAGTATTTCTTAAAAAATTTATGAAGCATTAGTACTTGTCTTATTCAGAGTGTTTGAAACAGAATGGTATTGCAACCTGAAAACCATGTTTATGTTACTGCAAAAGAATATGTCCATTTTTGCATCAGTAGTCCTTAGTATTGATTTGTTTGGAGAAATTTAAAGAAAAATGAACTGAAAATATTGATGTTAGAAACCGAAGGAAAGAGAAATCTCTTCAGCATTGAGTTCGATAAGGATGGTGAATTTTTCATCTTGGCAGGAGTTGCTAAACGTATAAAAGTATATGAATTCCAATCAGTTATTGAAAACACGGATACTTTGCACTACCCTGTTACGCAGCTTCAATGTACGTCTAAAATCAGGTCACTAGATTTTTCTCTGAGTTTCTCTGCATTTTTGTATCAGTGGTCCTCGGTATCAGTTTGTTTGAAGAAATTTAAAGAATTATAATCTGTTTGCAGTAATGTTTCATGGAATCCATATTGTAAAAGCACTCTTGCAAGCAGTGATTACGATGGAACAGTACAACTTTGGGATACCTCACTTGCAAGATCAATTAGACGTTATCAGGTTTATCTCTTGATGATATATTCCATGCCTTTTTATCCTATTTAGCGAAATTTGAACTAATGAAGCTAGATTGCAGAATATTACCTTTTTCAGTAATTTTGTTGCGGAATGATTTTAGCTTTATTCATTTAAACTGCATTCAAACTGCAAACTACAAACAATTGCATTCAAACTTTTGTAAGATAAGATTTAATCTGATTCTTTATGAAATTAGTTCGGAATAAATTTTTGCTTTTTTATGAACACGAGAAGCGATGTTGGACTGTAGTCTTCAACAGTGTTGATCCGCATTTAATGGCTTCTGGATCTGATGACGCCAGAGTGAGTTTTGATGGTCATTATGTTCTTATGAATACTTTGAATTAAAGTTCTTTGAATGTTTTTTTTACTCCTATAACTCTCATTTGATATAATGCAAACTGTTTTCGCATAGCAGCAGAAATGAAAAGCTTATTCATAATTGTCGTGCTAATCTTAACGATTCTTCAATATTCTTTAAAATAATGACCTGTCAGATTTTATCTACATGTAATAGGTAAAACTTTGGTCAATTGGAGTAGATCGTTCAGTGGCGACAATCGATGCTAAAGTCAATGTATGTTGCGTTTGTTTCAGTCCAACGCAGCGAAACTATCTTGTTTTTGGCTCTGCTGGTAATGACTATATAATATTCAAATTCGATTTTTAGTACCACAAAATAATGGGATTATGAATATTATTCACAACCTTTGAGCACTTATGTTTGTTCCACAATGCTGGCCTTTGATTTCAGTTGCTATAGACTTTGTACTCATATAAAATTGAAGAACTCATAAGTCGAGAACTCATACAAATTTTCAACGTATCATAGATCACTGCATTCACTTGTACGATATTCGGAGACCGCTAGAACCAGTTAATGTTTTTCGTGGTCATCGAAAAGCAGTATCGTACGTCAAGTATTGTAGTGAAAATGAAGTCGTCTCGGCGTTAGTTTTTATCTTATTTCTTTATTTTTAATTTTTCGTTAATTAATAAATGCATCCGAAGAAACTGTGTGTATGCAAGTGATATCATTTTATGCATTTCATTTATCTCTAGATTTAATTTTAAAAATTTTAAAAGTATACTTTATAAAAGGAATTTTGAGCTTCTGTTTTTATGTACATCTCAACATAAAACACAGGTCTACCGATAGTAATCTCCGATTGTGGGATGTGAGTAGCGGAAAATGTATACGTACAATGAAAGGTCACCAAAATGAAAGAAATTTTGTGGGTCTAGCAACTGATGGTAATCACATTGTATGTGGTAAGTTATTTTAATATAAGATTAGATTTGAAATGATATTTTTTTTGTTTAAATTTTTTTTTGCTTTGATGAGACTTTGCGAATTCCACTTATTTTTATTGAAGCTATGAAAAAGTTACTACAGGATCGGAAAATAATCATCTCTATCTGTATCATAAGGGTTTATGCGATCCGTTAATGTGCTATGATTTTGGTCGTGCGGATAATACTCGTTCTGCTCTTCTGGCAACTGATTCTTCTTCTGATTTTGTATCTGCAGTTAGTTGGAAAAGGGTATATATTTGTTATCAAATTGTATTATGCAGTATACCAAAACTCATCTTTGGTTGATCTTGAACATGAAGCTCAGATTTCGACGCAGTAACTCACTGAAGAATATTTTAGAATTCGAATATTGTTGTGGCAGCGAATAGTCAAGGAACAACGCATGTATTTGAACTTATTTAGTATATCGGGACGTATTTTTCTCTTTAAAATCGGTGAAATAGCAGATGTATCGTTCTGTTTTGTTTTTTGATACATGTCTTTTTTAAATCTCATTTTTGTCTTTCAGCATATTATTGGCATTTTTATTCGACTGATTTGATAGGACTTTTTGGAAAGAAATTTCACTTTCTTCTCTTTCGATGTTTATTATGGTTTAGCAGTGGAAAATTCAAGTCTTTGTAATAGCGGAAAATTAGTTCCTTATATTCAAGAATGCTTCATTGGAATTGAAAAGGATTCGAATTGGAATTACTTCATAGTTCTTTGTAGCAAGCTTACTAAATGTAACATGCATAATGAATTCTGCTGAATTCCGTAGTGCATTTTTTAGTTAGATTAGAATGACAGAGTAGATTTTATTTTTCTATTTATCAGCAATGGCGTTTTTTTTACGATTTCCGTAGAAAATAATCACGATAAGAATAGTTTTGTATTACTATAGGCTTATTAGCTAATATTATAACTTTTTTCTTCATAATTCACGTTAACCTAGGTCTGCAACGGATTCTGGATTCGAGATGGTTGCAGTATGATTCTTCAATTCCCGTAGTCTACTTTTCGCAAATTTTTAAATGAAAATTTTGCAAAATTGTTATGCGAAGCTGTTCTACTGGTAATGTTCGCAGATGTGCACACAATTTCCTATTTTTATTTTTGTGATTCTTTCACGTATTCTGATGTTATTTACATAAAATTATTTACTTATGATTATTGATGAAACAGCCGGTAACTGATGCTGGTAATTACAGAGTGCAAAAAAAACTGGTCCTTGTTAGTGTTAAGCCATGCGGTTTCTGCTTTTTGTCCTCTTTAATTTTAATTTGAGCTTGTAGTGTAATAATTTGTATTTTTATGGTAGTTGAAGCCAATTGTTATGGGATGATAGGACGTAAGTGATGCTATATGTGGCTTTTGGTAGGATTCAAAACATACTTCTATTCCAATAAAATGAAAAGAATGTCCGTACACATGATTACATTATTATGAAACATCAATCACACTATATACACTTGTGCGTCCCATTTCATGAACTTCCCTTGAAGGCTTTGAAAGAACGACGTGGTGGTAGTGAACTCGTTAGAGGATCTTTTAAAGTAAATTGGAATTTAAACAAATGCCGATTTTTTCTTGTTATAGAGAAATGTGTAGGAAGCACGAATTTCTGTGGGTCTACAGTTCGCTGATGATATAAATTAAAAATACAAACTGCATAATATTCCCCAATGGAGCCGGCACTATCTGCCGTCGTTCTTTCCTTTTTCTGTACGAGAAGTATGGATTTTCGTGGGATTTTGACAGTTGAATGGTAAGAAGGAGTTTCAGGTGACAGTCCGCAAGTGTAAGGGAATATCGGGCATTTCATAAAAGTCGATATTGATGGAGACATGTTGCTCATGTCAACTAATTCAAACTATAAATTATTGATATAGTATCTATCTTACCACCAGTTATATACAAACATTTGGATTTTTGAGGTATTTTTGAATAAGATGAGAGGTTGCAATGGAACGCACGAATAACGGTAATAATGAATTCTAGGTTTTACTTTACAAGAAGTAAAACCTAAAATACGGCAAGTGATGGGGAGGGATGTTGTCGCTATGGCCAAGCCGAAGAACATAAATATGTTGATGGTAACAAGGATTTTGGTAAAAACAATGCTGATAGTAATATTCGTGATAGCGATAGTACTAACAACGGCGACAATGGAAAGATTTTGGAAAGACGGTAACGTTGAGCAAGTAGCTAACGTAAATTTTATCAAAAAAACAGTATTGGATCTGCTGTCGAATTCTTTTCCTTTTCGTTCATGGATCCTTCGTCAAAATATTGTGCATACTGTAAATTAGAGATTTAATGAAAAGATATATTCAATTCAAATCCCGAATTTATTGACTATTTTTGGGATTTTTGGTTTAAGAATTTGCAAGAATTAAAGATATACGGTAGAAATGTTTAGAACATACAGCATCTTCGATCCATCGGAATATGTGAACATTGTATGGAACATAGGGCTGTCTGATGAGGTGTTCTTGAACTTCGAGAAATCGTTTCAAATCTTCTAGCGTTATACGCTCTTTGCTTGGCCTGCAATCAACATCGCAAATAAAATTTCATAGTTGGCATTTTTTGCTCCAATCACATTCTGGTTTCTAATTAGTAGTAATTATAAGGCTAAAAGACAAATTACTCCATCAACTCTTGAATCCTAATTTAAATCTGAAGCTTTACTGATCATGAAATCATGATGCATCGAAATTTGTCTTATTATTAGTTTGTCATATCCTCTCATTTTCTTATCTTTTTTTTTTGTCTCTTATTTCTTATATATGCATATTTCTTAAGAATATTCCAGTAACTGTTCCGTCCTAAATTTTTTTCCGATGGACAATCCGGAGTGTCTATTATCCTCTTCATGCTAAACAATAAATCGTGCTAAGATAAGCAGGCTAGGAATACTGTGATCTTTATGTTTCATATGAGATGTTCTATTAGTCATACATAGATTATTATACTCATTAAGTAAGCATTATTTATCAGCTTTTGTTTTATCTTATACGTCGTTTTCTTACATCTCTGAAATATACCTCTTTATAATACCTCGAATGCTCCTCAGTAAGTAAGTGATAAATACTTGAGTGGATGAATTAATTAGTCGTTTATCAAATTACAGCTTAATATGAAATTCTTCGTGTAAGATAAGATGTTAGGCAAACGCATATAAAATAAAATGCTGATAAGAGATATTGATATAATATCTGTACCTTGTCTTTTTGAGAGCTGCAATAATCCTCATAGCTTCACGAATATCATCACTAACACTTGCAAAACCGCGGCGTGCTCCACGAATCTTTCGACCGAAATAATGTAGTTTGGTGAATGTTCGTTTGAGTGTTGAACTACACAAGTCTAACGATGCTGTTATCACTGCCAAACCAATTATCACATAAGCAATCACTAACTGTAAGAAGTAATCATAATTGATATGTAATGAATTGAATTAATAATTCGAAACAAAGCATCATTCCTTAAAACAAAAAAGTCTCTACTTTATCTGAAATTTTCATCTAAATTTATAATTTAGGACAAAAGAAAAAAAACTTCAAAAAAATTTCAGTCCAGCTTATTGAGATAATAATCATTTTTTAGCATCACGGAGGTTTTGAAGCACCAGATAAGCCAACAAATAAACAATCAACAATCCAGCAATCCATTCTTCAGAAAGATAAAAGAGGATTTCAACTACAATTCAGAAATGATAATGACAAAATTTCTATTTCTACAAAATAAGAAATAACTAACAGCCAGATAGAACTGATTCCTAACATGGATATTCCCAAGACCAATCGTTGTGATAGTATTGAATGAGAAAAACACACCGTGCATAAATGACCTATAAAATGGCTTAGTCTGATTCAAGACTCTTTTAAAGAACCTATCGATTCTTCTTGTGAAATAATTAATGTAATTATTTGAATCTTAATTTAATATGCGTCATATCACTTTTACTGCTTGTTTATTTACTTTTTCCAAACCATGCATTTTGACTAATTTAATCTCCTTCGACTTCATTTTTCTATATGATGGTGACATGTTGTATACTTTATTCCACTTTATACTTTGCATAAATGAAATAAATATTCATACTTACCAAATGGGTCCCTTCTCAAAAGTATTGAAAAGCATACTGCCAATGGCACAGTATCCAATGATCAATCCAAAGTAAGAAGCGATAGGTAGTTGTACTCGCCCTTCCTCATCCTCGTCATCAACTAACACACTCTGTGGTCTGGTCGTCCGTCTTTTTCTATAATTTAAAATAAATTTTAGTAATGTGAAGGATGATTATTGCTAAGTAAACCTTTAAATGATGATTAAAAAACTAGCAAAATGTCACAAAGAGGGAATTTAATATAGGCTGGAAAATAGAAGAAAAAACGACACTGACCTAGAATCGATAGAATCGTCATCATCTTTGACACAATCACGAATGGCATCTATTATGGAACTAATCCATTCAATCAGTTCTAATAGTTTGCTGTATGATCGTATTACAATTTCTGACAGAAATTTACCAATATCAGCTGCAGTGATGAACATCAGAGGAATACCAACAAGACCAAAAAATACCGTAAACAATCGTCCTGGATTGGTACTTGGTGTTACATGATCATATCCTGAAATATTAGGACTAAAATATTTTTATAATAGTGATCAATTTTGTAAATGTAATTTGGATTTGTATCCAGAGGGAAAAAAATTGCAATGTTTAACGAACCAGTAGATGTAATGACAGTTAAAGCGTATAATGCGGAAGCAGCGAATGACCATCGTGTGACAAGTTCTTCCTCAGAATCAGTCCATAGTTGACCATTCAATGTGAAACGATCGTCATATTCGTGTGTACTTGATAAAACTGATAGCAATGGACGTATCCGCCGCTCGACCTACATATCGGATTATGATCGTAGCTGCGACATTTGTATAGCTACTTTTTTTGATCCCAAATATCTTTGTAACATTTAAATTATCAGAAAGAGACTAATTCAAGTTTACGTTGCACAGATAACTTAATTCATTTTTCTATTTTATCATTACTTCTCTTCCTTTGATTTTCCTTTATCCAAAAATGATTATTAGAAAAAATATTCCATTTCAATTAGTTTAAATTTTATTTCATCCTTGTCCCTTCAGCAGATTGTCTCATCTTTCTGGTATAATTAATCGAAAAGTGTGTAAGAAAATTCTGCATTTATTAAGAGTGAAAAAAACTATTTCTTTAGATGCCAATTACCACATATGCATAAATTGATTTATCCCTTTTTCACAATTCCTTTGATAATGAATAAAATGTTTTGTAATTTTAAGATCTATTTGTGGATCACATACCAATGATCGTGTAGTGTTATCAGTAAAATCTGGCATACAGATGCTGAATGTCTCATTGATAATCATAGTGTACAGTTTCAGCACTTTTTGCAATTTCGATCGACGATTCTGTAAGTTATATTATTGTTGAGTTCCCTTAAAGGACCCTTCTTACATTCTGAAATTCTTAGATGACGAAATGTGTTGAATCGAATGCAGCATTCATTAATTACGTCATACCTGTAGTTCGTTGTCAGCTTCTAACCAAATGAAGATCAAAGCACCGATTGCTATGTATGTTAGCAATAACATGATGAGACCAACATGCGGTATGAGGATTTTTATTACCTAAAACTTGTTCAAATTTAATAATTACCATCTCAGTATCATAATACTCTTAAAAAGTCCGATTATTTGATCGCGGAAACATACAGTAGTTCAAGTTGATAGAACAAACAATTTATGTTAAAAAGTATAGTTAATCAGTGTTTCGTTGCAACTTTGAATTATATCATTACAGTATCTATCTTTTAAAAACTGTATTCTACAGTTGTAAACAATTTTGAGAAAAAACATAAAAAACATAAAACCTTGATAATGCGCTTTGGAAGCGAGTCTGGTGGCGATTCTTCTTCAGAACATACTGAATTACTGTCACCTTTCCTCAAGGGATACTCATCCCATTTTACCTTACCAATTGTCTCTAAAATTTTTCAATATATTTTCTATTATTTGAAAAATTTTATTAAAAAGGAATAATTCTAATGAAACTATTCTGTATTTTAATTCTGAAATTATTGGATGTGAACTGATTTTTGGTTTAGATTATTTCTGGTCCAGATTTTGTGGCTTAGTTTAGATTTTTTTTTCTGGTTTAAAATATTTCATGATCAAAGCTTTTTAGTCTTACAACTACTGGTTAAAGTTCTGCACCAAATACTCTTCCATTTAAACCTTAAATTTTTGAGAAACAATTTCAACAAATTTCGATGTAATAATTTTTTTTGAAGAACCTTTCTTATGCATTTTAAATCTAATAATGATACAAATTCAACTGCCGACTGATTAATTATCACTGAGCCCAAAATTTTGGAAAATTGCAAAAACCAACCGACAGGCTTTTCGTTAGATGTTAAATTCTTCAGCTTCATTTATGCTAATGTTATTATCCCAGTCTTTGTATTTGCCGCTATTTTCTAACTAAGATACGTTTCATTTCAAATTGAGAATCCGATTTGTCATCAGTTCATTTGCATATTGAAAAATAAGGTGAGTTTGTAATGAAACATAAGCTGATTAGAAATAAATGGACTGCTGATCGGCTACAACTTATGTCATCACTTCAAGCATATTCATTGCTTTATTCTGCTCAGCTCTATTCTTATTTCCGGTTTCCGAACTCATCAGCTATGAACAATAAACAACCGATGAATACCATTACTTAAGGAGGCAAACATTTGGCCATTGTAAGGTTTGTTACTATCATTAATCATTTAATGGCGGTAGTCTGTTGCTATGTGGCGTGTCACATAGCAAACTACAAATATTCAAAATTAAAAGAATTTTCGCCCAATGTAAAAAATAAAAATTAGACATATTCTAAAATGTTATTTCCTTCAAAGATTTTCGCAACAACCTTTGAGAATTGCGTTGCATTAACTCAAATTGAAACAGAAAAATTGATTACTGTAAGCATTCACAAATTCATAGTTATGCTTCAATAAAATCCATTTTATTCCTGCAAATCTATTTTGCTACTATTTACTAATTGTTGTTTGCTGTCCGATTTTAATTGGTGACACCTCTGGCCAACGCTTCTTCAGCTGAGTTATTTTAAGTTTCACACTTTCATTGTAGAATGATGACAGTATCTAAAAATTAATTACGAACAAATTTATATCAGTTGCACTTTTAGATGTAATGTGTGATAATGGGCTACACTATCAGCTGACTCTAAACATCAATTTATCAGAGCATTCGGCACTCTCTTTGTAAAGCTAATCTGAACTTTAACTGGTAAAATTAAATTCAAATCTCTTCCGATTATTTGATGCATAATAACTTACAGTTACCACTATCGCAATAGTGGCAATCTTTTGGTAACTTCTTAAACCATTACTCTTCTTGTTCGGTATTTTCATTTAAAAAAAAATCGGAGCTTGCCTAACCTTTTAGGAATTGTCTGATAAAGGAATTTGTGATAAGAAGAAAGAAGAAATGGTAAAACGTTTGGAAGTCTAAAGGAGTTACGAAATAAAAATTCTGAGGCCTTTTCTTATATAATCCATTTTCATTAGACAAGCTTATTGCTAAAGTAACTATAAGTTGCATACTTAATAATGG